CTGTTTTCAACCCCGACGCAAAAGAAGGGATTTAGTTCGAAGCCTTTTGTCTGTGCTTCTGTTTGTAGAATCGTTACTCCTAAACGGATGGACTGACCTCAAAGAGGTTTTGTTTATGGCCTTCGGCTAATTTAATCGGAATGGTTCTAGCTATAATTGATGACCAGTTCAGCTGTTTAATGATTATCAGCTCATTTCCAAGTCAGTCTAGGTATGTTAGTCATAAAATGAATATTTATTTGGATATCGGTATACTCTGAAAATCCGTTGACATTACAATAATGTGGGAACCTGGATTTGATGCTGAGACAAGGACATTTACAGCGCAACCCTCCAATTACGTTTGGGCGCATCGAATTGGTCTCGACGAGTAGTTGGCTGGTTCTTTTGTGTCGAGTCTGGTTCTTTCATTTCGTTGTCGTCGTAACGAAATGATTTCAACGCACCGAGTGCCATACGAGCAATGCGGTGTGGCGACGTAACGACGCGTAGTTAGGCATCGCAGTACCCCTCCCCGCCTCGTCTCCTGACCCCTTGTCCTATGCGCACGCGTTCCATCGTCTCGCGCTGTTTCAACGCACCATGTGGTATGTAGTTCTAATTTATAATGTACAGCGCAACGTTTGCCAACTCACTGGTTGTCTGGGCTTGGGTGTCTTCATCACATAATTCAAGAGACAGACAGTTGGTTAGATATTGTCGGTTTTTGCAACGCATGCTTTCTACTTTTGATCATGCGTCACTTTGGTACACCTCTGGACTGATATACGTAAATTAAAATGTATAATTGTACATAGCAGTTGCGCACTCACGTAGCCTCGTCTCGCGGTTGATTAAGAAGCCGGCCGCGGCGCGAATTCACAAATTCCATTTTTACTGCGTGATTCTAAAAGCTTAGCTTTTGTTTATAATTATAATAACGCATACACTCAATATAGCCAATAATCCACACACCCATAATAAAAATAAATCAATTTCCTTAATTAAATCATTGTATCCGAATGGTTTCCTAATATTTCCTTGACGTTGGATAAATTAACAAGAAAACTGGTAATTTTATGGACTTTCGCAGCCCATAGATTACAAACGTTATCCCTTATCAGAATTGAAAATATTTAGGGCCGTATTCCAGAACTCTACTCAGTGAGCACTGAAAATCATACTCAAGTCCTTGCCATTAGGGTCGTATTTCCAGTGCTTGAAATCATACTCAAATCCTGACTTGAGCATTGAGTAGAGTTCTGGAATACGACTCTTACTTTTCTAAAGCGTTGCTAAAATTATAATTACTGGGTTAATAAAAATCTCGGCTCCTGGACGTGAACGACCCGTATTGACATTGCCGTATTTTACAGAAAATGTTAACGTGTGTTCTGTGACGGCATTTAGAGATTTATCGGCATTATATCTCTTCTACAGTAAACATAAGATCAGTAAACAGAGACCAGCTTCTGCTAACGTATAAAGCTCCTCATAAACCAGCCTATACACAACCGATCAGCCGCTGGATCAAACCGGGTGTTATCAGAGAGTGGCGTGGATGTGTCGCCAATTCGCCATTCGGCGCGCGTAGCACGCGACACGCGGATAATTCTACCCCGCGCTGTGCAGGCCTTAGTGTCGACATCATCCGCAAAACGGCGGGCGGCGGGTGGCATCCACTGCCTCCATTACTTTTGCACGGTTTTATAATAGAGCCATCGTTGATGACGGTAATTTTACAAAGCCATTCTACTGATAATTAATAAATAATATGTTGTTTTTCTACCAATAGAAGTTACTGTAATAAATTACTATAAATATGTTATGAATATGAAAAAATAAAAATGATTCTTATTTCCTTCAAATTTGTAGTACGCGAGGCGCACTATAAGTTTCCAGAATGAATAAGAAAAAAATACTATAAATGATCAGAAATGAAATTTATTGTTTCTCAAAATATTCTCCGTTAGCGTTAATGCACTTTTTCATACGAATGAACCAATTTTGAAAACATTTATGCCACTCCTCCGTGACAATTTTTTAAACATTTTTTCATACTCTTCGACAGCCTCTTCAGGTGATGAAAATCGTTGACCGCTTCACCCTGGCTTTTAAGCCCATTTAAAGAATTTAAAAGGAATAAGCGCCAAGTAGACGATGCCCCGCTTTACGGTTAGGAACGGCCCGTAACCGGAGTTACCAGAACTGAATGAAATCAAATTTAATAATTCGGGGACTTTAAAATACGTGCAGACGTCACCTGTAGGTTTAAGTACGTGGTAAGTATTATATTTGAAAAATGAAGCGAAGAAATATAATTGAGTCGGGTCTCGTAACCCATACCACAAAGTTTGAAAACAAGGGTTTTTCAATCAGTGCGTTATATGCCCGCTGCCCGCTGTATGACATACGGAGCCGAGACGTGACACTCACGATACGGCTAGTCCACCGGTTAAAAGTCGCTCAGCTTACTAGCTATGGAACGGCTTAGCTCTCTGAAGGACAAAATTCGAAGTGAGGTTGTCCGATAGAGAATCAAGGACCTCGACAGAACTTGTAGAATAAGCAAGTTGAAGTGGCAGTGGGCTGGCCGTGTCTGTCGAAGAACCGATAACCGTTGGGGGCAGCGAGCTGTTGAGTGGAGACTACGGCTCGGCAAACTTAGTGTACGACGCGCTCTCACCAGATGGAGTGACGATCTGCGAATGGCCGCTGGCAGCAGATTGGGAGAGGCCTACCATAGGTTGATGACGATTGGCAGACTAATAATAATTTTAAAAAACAATACATAGAGCTGCAAACCTAACTTATGTAGAAAATTATTTAATTGATGTTGAAAATGATATTGAAATGTATTAGTTTTAAAATACATTTTATAAAATTCACGCTGAAAATTGCTTGCATTCAATTCGATCACGTTAAATTCATTTCACATGAATTTTAGTGTAACAATATACTTTAAATTAACTATTGAACTAATGAACTATTCAATTAATATTTGTACTACGAGCAAAGGTTCTTAATAAACTTGTTTTCCTCTAGAAAGTATCACAACGTTTGTAAGTCACGCCGGACTTGGACATACAAATCACCTTCTTCGACGCCAAATGAGGCTATTGGCGCAATGGTGGTGTAACCCACATTTAATTTTTTTTCTACAATATTACCTACATTAAATGATACTAAAGTACATATATATAGTACGTATGTTTATGTATTATATATATATATATATATATATATATGTGTGTGTGTGTCATGTATATTTATATACACGAAAATGAATCCAAATGTAAAATAATATATAAACACCACTGTTGCATGCACCGTTGAGGTCAGTCAAATATGAAAATCGTTTTGTCATCTATTTTTGTTTTTACACTGTAAAGAACTTTAAACTTTGGGTAAAATGTGATCACATTAAATTAGAGTAACTCAAATACGATCACGGTAAACACAGGATCGAGGAGAGTGCAGCACTCGACTAGCTTACCATTTAAGTGAATTACGTTTGGTTTCATAGAGCGTATATTAGACATAATAAAGACTTGCAAAACCTACGCTATTATAGCCGTTGTTTTTGCCATAATAGATTACATGTGTTCATTTTGAAACAAAAGCTAAATTTAACCGTCGCTGTGACTCAAATAGTGTATATCTTAGTAAATTCGCGACCTGTGTAATTTCCGTTGCTGCGATCCGGTCTCTACTACTTTCTACGTACTTCAACGTTGCATTCAAATGCAACGTTTAACCCGTGTTTTTAACGGTGTGGCTCTCTTTTCGCGAAATTCGGTACGATTCATTTAGCTTGTTACAGTCTATGCATAAATTGTGATATCTCAGTACTTAGGATTATTTGACTTTGTATTTTTTTATATGATTGCCTACTGTGTACATCTTCAGTCTCTCGACTACAATGTTGCCGACACAAAATCGCGATATGATTTTTGATGAGAAATTGGCTTGGTATCAGGTGCGCGGTTGTTGGGTGTGATGTGAATGGCAGCTTTTTCGAGGCACAGCTACCGCCTGTCGCGCGCCATCGGTGACAATGGCCGTTTGGTCAGCGATTCGTTGCCCAACTACTGTCGGCGTCGTGCTTCATTGGCCTTGGGGAACCTTTACCCGTATCTAATCACTTTTTTTTCTTACTCTCGCGACTTTGTTTCCGTATTTAAGAACTATAGTTTTACATTTTCGGCAGACACAGTACGTCACAATTAAACCGACATGTTTATTACTCGTTCGCTTTACGGCTCTAGTGACAAATACATGCACAAATACCTAAATTCCCGCCGCAGTCGCAGTCGCCTAATGGGATTTTGTTAAAAGAACTGTTACATGATACTTCAATCGACGAAACAAATGCGACTTATCGCAACCTTGCGCTGTGACGCGCTAAGCCTCTCGTGATAACGAGCAAAAAATACACGTGCCCATTGACTTTCGGCACCAGAATTCGAAGCGAGTTTCGACCATTGTGTCTTAAACTGTATGTCGACCGTAATCAGATTATTATTTCATTCCAGTTCATTCCAGTTCGTGTGGCTGTGGCATCTTTGGTCATGGACCATTCGTGAAGAAGGGAAATGTTAAATCAACCTATTTCTGAGTTTTGTTGATTGTTCTTTGTGACTTCCATTGTTATGGCTGCGTTTCGAATTACATTAAGGGGCTGAAATGATTGAATTCACAGAACGTGCTTCCTTTTGTAACCCTTTTCTTTGTTATAAGAGCATGAACGTACTAACATTTGTAGGGCCTTGGCATTGAAGACCGTGAAAGCAATCACTGAGGTGCAGAGGCGCGGAGGGCGGGTCGATCGAAAGCCCTGCTCACGGGTTTAGTCATTCGGCGCGAAATGCTTTCATGGGTTCAATGGCCATAAATCGTCTTTTGATTCCATACTGTATAGGAAGTAGAGTTTATTTATAGAGCCGGCGGTGCGACAGCAGCGGCGCTGCGTGCGCGCGCGCTACGGTGAGGGGCACTGCCGCCGGCGCAGTGTTTCTCGGGCCACAGCGTTGATCGGTGTTCGTCAGCGTCGTGCACTCCGCGGTCTCCGAGCCATTGCGCTGCGAGTGTTGAAATCGTTCGAGTGCCAGTGATAACTGCGATACCGTTTTGCCAATCGTGACGTTACGTGCGAGTTGCTATCGAACCGACATTTTTCGTGCTATTTTATAGATATTCATTCGAAACGTTTTTTGTCGATTGTTATTGATCAGTCTTTGTGTTAGTTGAGTGTGAGGCCGAGTTGAAGAGGATGCGGCCAAAGGAGGAAGCCGATGCAAAGCTCCAAAAAGGGGCTTTCATTTTGTCGGAGAAGATCGACGACACCAAGTCGAAGAAAAACGAAAAGGATATGAAGAAGGAAATGAAGCGACTCGAAAAGGAGAAACTCGAAAAGGAGAGGCGCGAAAGGAAGGCACGAGAGAAGGAGAAGGAGCGGGAGAAGCAGGCTAAGAAAGGTCAGAATGAGAAATACTTAGTGTGGCGGCAAGACCTTGAGTTATCATTGTTATCGTGATGTCAGCTAGCGTATTTATAGAGATTAATCACAATCTCTACATTAATAAATTTAACGTGACGTCGGCGCAGTCATAAAAATGTTAGGTCGACTAAAAGCATTCCCACGAAACCAGTTGTATTATTGTTTCGTTACATTACGACTGCTGCAACCGACCTTGAGTCTTTGTGGCTAATTACACGATTCGTACTAATACTAATAATCAGTGTACAGGAAGGTTTGGCAATGTTTGGTAGCGACGCATGAATCCAAATGGACTGTGTCGTTGTGAATCGTCGAAGAATTAGTTTTTGCCTTAACGTTCAATTTCTTCGGTTTCGTACACTTAAATGTTACTAATTCGATTTAAATGATTATTTTTTGTGTGATATTTTTAGCTGTCGTCAGTCTGTGGTCTCCCGCGCGCAGCTAATGCATCCATCGGAAGAGCACGAGACCGCATGTCATTTGCCTCTGCTGTATTCTTAGAAATCTGATTTCTTTAAATATCTCTACTCAACACACTTTTCATAGCGAGGGTGACATTTTATTTGGCACTAGTTCTTGTGAAGCAAGATGTTTCTCGGAATCGCTTATTCGTTATCTTGCTCGTATTTCTCAAGAAATATCGATTTCAAAATCGATAAATTATTCCTGTTTTATTTCCATCGAAAATATTATCAAGTCATTGTCTCTTATTATCTTGTGGCTCGGTTCACTTATCGCTCGCGTTATCTGCGCCCTCACTCCTTTCAGTGGTTTCTCTAATTTGTTTACGTATTCTGAGACGATCGACTTTGACAATAACTGTCATTATTCTTACAATCCTGAGCAGATTCACCGTATTACGTTGTCGATATGCTTCACTTATGTTATGACTGACTGCATCTATTAATATATTTTCTGCACGACTGAGCTCTCTATGTATTGTTGCAGTAGTGTATAGTAATTTCATGAATCATTATTTCGAAATTGTTGAATAACACTTATATGTTAGAAGACATACACACCGGAGTGGAAGCATTTTACGTGGGAACTTTTGATTCATCGTTTATATGTGGGGCGCCGCGCCGGGCGGAGAGGCCACCAGTAACAGCGAGGGAATCGGGGTGGGAGTATCGCGAATCCTGTTCATCCGTGAAATTAATGTCAAGTCACAACGGCAACGATTTTCGCTAGGTATACAAATCATACATCATGATTAGCAATACAATCTGTTGTTCGTTATTTGCCCTTTCCAACCGTTACACTCGCAAAAATTCCTTGTTTCCCCGCGAATTACGATTATTGCAAGTGAACTTTTGTGTATATCGTTATTTTTGCGAGTTTGCGTGCCGGGGCGAGGCCTTGGCCGTGATGACATGGTTGCGAAATGAATGCGCGATTGTGGCTTATTTCAGTTCCACTTGGCATAAAGCATGTTGTTCCTTTCAATCGGGCGCACGCGTTTATAGCCCCTGTGTATTCTCGGGTTTCAAACAAACACAGCGCGAGCGTGACCACACGCCCGATCGTTAAATATCTCGAGACTTATGCGCTGTTTTGCATACGAGAGCTTCCCAATGTGCCCGTCACGACTCTGTGCGCAATTCAATTTCTCGCTTTTGTGGGGTTGAAAACTCATGCTTCTTCTTTACTAGACAAACGAGTAACACCATCGCTTAACATCAGGTGAGATTGTGACCAAGCGTTCGTCTATTTTACATAAGAAACAACATTGTCTGCACGGTTGAAGAGTCTTTGTACACGTTTGACGTAAATTCAAATGGCAACATTCTCTGAGATCCATGTTTTATTACTTGTCGGTGCACAGGGTTTTAGTTCATGTTAAATTGATGCAGACTACATATTTCGTAGTAACTCCATTTTATCTTCACTTGCCATACGTTTTATCGATAAATGTTTGTGAACGGTGCCAATATTTCGGCACAGTCTAAACGGTGGGACGCAAACGGAGATGAATGTTGCTTTTCCGCAAGCAAATTCAACACGTTACGGCCTATGATGACCGAATTGCCAATTGTTGCCTATGTTGCGTAGGTTGTACCAGATACAATAAGTTGCGTGTAGTCGCTCGCAGCTCGCTGCGCACGAAATCGAGTAGCTTGTTTATGTTCGCCATCGCCGTTTATTTGTTTCGCGCCATTTATTATCATTTTCTCGCTTTTCATTACACACGAAACAGTAATGAGGTTTTGTTTGTTCTCTCTTGACTATGACTATGTGATACAACAGGTGGCGTTATTACACTTTGTATTTCATAATTTACAACATAACCAACTTAAATATTCAAATCTGTTGTTAACACAATGCATCAACGTTGCGTATAGATACTATTGTTTGTATAAATAGTATGTATAAGGTCTTACCTTGTTTCGATTTGTTGTAAAATAATTGATAAACAACTTGACTGGTCTTTGAAAAATATGTGTATACGTAAAGTTAATATCATTAAATCTTTATCTCGGTGACAGCACAATTTACGCTCTTTCGAACTGTTAATGTATTTAAAAGTGAAACATAGCGTGGGATGAACGAGCAATTCCTTGGCGTGTCTTCGTGTTGAGCAAATTCAAGTTCAATGTTGCGTGGAGCTGACGTTACGCCGAGGCTCTAAATAGACATTGTTATATGGACGGTGTCTCGAGGATGTCAATAACTGCGGTTAAATTGTACTCTGAGCGCGACTCTCACGGAACTGCGACAATCGCAGAGCCGCCAACGAGCATCTACAGGTCAGGTAATAAAGGTGCAACAAAATGTTATTATAGGTACTCAGGTTTATCAAGTCAGCCAACTGGACGGTACACAAATTCATGGCTTGTGAATAAGTAAAGCTAAGTGAAGTGCGGCGTGAGAATGTTTCGTAAAAACTGTGACTGATCAGTCTGCCCCTGCCCCTTCACCGTGTGGTCTGAAGAGCGCAGCGCTGCGAATGGCGCTAACGGACTCTAATAAGAAAGCCAACTCAGTTCTGTTGCATACTTTTTATAGCATCAACATGTTTCGATTTATTTACGTAACACGAAATAAGCCATTAGTTTCAGGTGTGCCTCATTATGGCGAAAGTTTCATATTTTTTACTTGCAGCGCAATTGACACGATCTCTCCTGTTGATTGTCTAAAAGATAGATTACGTTTTGGATAGGTACTTTGTGATTGAACACCGCCCGTTATGTAGGCAACATTTGCCTTTAGTAGCTGGACGTTATCTGTCTCGTTCGCACTGTGTTTTGCAAACGTAACCAGGCCGCACTCTACTTTTTAATTACCTACGTAAAACTATAACTGCAATTCATTAAAAGCTTTAACGATCACACTCATAGCCCTGCACTAGGGAAACACTGTATCGCGGGTGCCATTAACACATGGACAACCACTTTTATGTTCTCCCGGCCCGGGAATCGAGCTCGGGACCTCTGCGTGGCGGTCCGGCATGGTAACCGTTCGAGAAAGTAGATTCGTTTCCCTCACTCGCCATATTTCTCTGATTACTCGATCTCGAGCTTTATTGCTGCACTAGATTTCGCCAACTTTTGTTCTTAACATAACATTACCTTCTACTTCAAAAATTTTTAGGTATACCTTACTATGTACTCGAATTGTAACGGCTACATTTCCATTTTCCTTGTAAGTACTCGTACTCGTTAGTAGTTTTTTTTTCTACAGTTAAGGATTACTTCGTTTTTAATGGATAAATTGAAATTACTTACAAACTTGATAGGCCAATGTGATAAACACTTGGATTTGCCTCGTGTCGTTGTCTTGAGTGCAATTTGACGACTGGAAATTGTCTCGACAGTCGAATTGTTGCTTGCCCTATTTGTCGATGCACCGATTATGTTTTGTACCGACCGACAATACTGTCAAGCTCGGTACCCTCGGTTTTTGCAGCGGCGGCGGCGTTAAAAAAACATTTGTCAGCAAATTGTCGCGTGACATCGCTTCTGCAGCTGTAACGCTAACAGTATACTGTTGTTGCTTTTGCCGCGATGCAAAAAACTTTATTGTAGCTGGTAGTGATGATATCGTGTCTAGTCTAACGCTCTGTGAGTGCAGTATTCAGGAACACTGGACGCTAGTGAGCTAAATACCTACAGTTAGTATTCTTGTTCTTAATTTGGTATTGAATATTGTTTGTCACTTTCCTACGATAAAACAATGAGAATGAGGCAATTGTTACATTTCGATGAGCGCAATTGACACGTTGATGACTATGGCTGTTTAAATAAGGTTTAAATGTATTCGCGCAAGGTTAAAACCTTTGATTAATTTTGTGATTATGTTGAACGCTATATTTATTGACACCTCTAAAATACCTAATGTTTGTAACGCGTGGATGTGATGTTGATGAATGGACACATATTAAACTACATAAATACAACATTCTCGAATGAAAACTTAAGAACTGACGTCACTGACCTTTCCCTCGTCCCGTACCTTCTACCTGTAGCTCCCCAGCGCCCGTGTAGGACCGGAAGAGCGCCGGCGGCGGATGACCTGTCATTAGTAGCCTCGCTCTTCCCTCGCCGGCACTTCCCGCGCTATAAATAGTCCCCCGCCGCTCACGATTGCCATATTACTAGTATTAGGTTAGTAGCACGTTGTTATTTTTGAAGTTTTGGACGTCCATAGCCAGATTTTGTGTTTCACTTGGATACCATAGAGAAGATAGGTGTTCAAATGGCGTACAAAATCAAATTGAGTACCTAATTTTTTAGAGGTTAATAAAATCGAGTGTATCCTTGATACACATGTATTGTTTATGCCATTGTTGTGCGTAAGATTCAAAAGTGTCGTAATAAAGACAAGAGGAGAAAATTTCCTTAATTGCGAGTGAGGATGTCCCCATTACAGAAAGTTATTTACGACCGTTATTTTTAACATTCCCAACACGGCAAAGGTCGCGTGCCGGTGGCGGCCCGCAGGGCTGGGGCTGCACCCTCCTCCGCGACGGAAGAG